CGAAGGATCAACATAAAACAGCATTCACATTCGAAAGGGGGCATTACGAGTTCACCCGGATGCCGTTTGGACTAAAGAATGCTCCGATAACCTTTCAGCGCTTAATGGACGAATTCTTAAGAGGTTTGGATGAAACCGTATGCCAGGTCTATATGGACGACTTGCTGGTATTTAGCAAGACAGAAGGGGATCACGTAGAACACCTGCGAAACGTATTCGAGAGGTTGCGCTGTTTTGGACTAAAATTATCCAGGGAGAAATCCCTATTAGGACAAGAGCGGATTAATTTTTTAGGCCACACAATTTCGAAGGACGGGGTTAGGCCGGACGCGGAGAAAGTAGAGGCTATTAGGCGAATGGCGGTTCCGCGAGATGTTAAAGGAATCAGGAGGCTCCTCGGGACGCTTAATTATTATAGGAGGTTTGTGCCAGAAATGGCAGAGTACCTGGTCCCGATCAATAATTTACTGAAAAAGGGGGCTAAGATGATCGTAACACCCGTAATGGAACAAAACATTAGGAAGTGTATGGACCGTTTACAAACAGAACCGGTATTTCCGGACTTCAGTAAGCAGTTCACGGTTACCACGGATGCCAGCGAGTATGCGCTGTGAGCAGTACTGTCGCAGGATGGAGTAGAAGGAGAGCGGCCCATAGCATACGCGAGTAGACGCCTTACCGAGGCTGAGACGAGATATAGCGCTTTGGAGCGGGAATTGCTCGCGATAGTGTGGGCTATTGATCATTTTCGGCCTTACGTATTCGGAAGAAAGTTCAGAGTCCACACCGATCACAGGCCCCTTCAATGGGTCGGAAAATTAAAAGAATCCTCTGCGAGGGTCGCGCAATGGAAGGAATTTCTCGGCCAATATAATATTGAAATAGTGTATAAGCCAGGAAAGGAAAATGTGGTGGCCGATTGGCTGTCGAGAGCCATAGTAGTGAATGCAGTCGAGGAAGACAGTGGTGGACCATCGCGTGATGTTCGACAGTTCCTGAGTGAATGGACACCGGATAGGGAAGGTGAGGACGGTGCGAGAGACGGACGGCAGGGAGAGGAGTCCCCCGAAGAGGAGAGCTCGACGGAGGAGAGGCCAGCAGAGATGGAAGAAATTGACGAGATCATCAATGATAAACGTCACCAGGTCATCTGGAAGACTAGGACAGCGGGTATGATGAAAATCGACTACAGCCGCTACGGTAGAAGTAATGTTCACACAATCTGGTCGCAACCAGGGGTGCGTGAGGATCAAATCTGCAGGGCGCTGAAGGATGCATCGGAGCCACGGAAGACAAATCATCTCTATGTGGGGAACGCCACAATATGGGAAAAGATTAAGAGGATTTGGAGGTCCGAGAAAATCGGAATAGATAGAATATTTGTCCGATGCAAATATATGGTGGAAACAATAACGGACGAGGAACGGCAAAAGGAGGTGACCCTTGCATATCACCAGGGGAAGACGAACCATAGGGGAGTGAACGAAACCTTACAGGCACTACGCAGGAAGTACTTTTGGTGGGGAATGAGGAAGACCATACAAGAAACAATAGGAACGTGTGAGGTGTGTATGCGCAGGAAGTACGACAGACACCCACCTCAGGGAAGACAGGAAGAGACACCCACGGGAGACGCACCATTACAGGATCTCCAGATCGACACCTTCACATGGAGACGGTATAAGTGGGTAACCATGATTGATACCTTTAGCAAACTTGCTATGGCGTACCGGATATTGGAGAGGTCGTCCGATGCAGCTTTGGAAGCCATCCAAACATGGATGCAATTTTACGGGGTACCGGAGAGAGACTCCTCGGATGGAGGAAGGGAATTTGATAATAGCACAATGAGGAAGGAGGCAAAACGCTTAGAGATAAACTGGCACTTCAATACATCAGGGCACCCCAAGAGCAGAGGTAGCATCGAGCGGCTGCATAGTACCTTGAGCGACCATATACGAGTGTATCAGGGAGAAAAAGGATTGGAGCCCGACATTGCGATGAAAAAGGCGATAATAGCGTATAATCATTCAATTCATTCCGTCACTGGGTTCTCACCCTTCGAAGTACTGTTTGGGATGCGGGAACGAAGACGAGATTGCGCGGAAACGGCGACTAACGACCAAGTGGCCGAACAAATAGGTAATAATAGGGTGGAATTAAGGAAGACGTGGGATACAGTACGAAGGAAAATAGAAAGGGAAAAGACGAAGAGGGTAGATAGAGAGAATCTAAGATTACGCGATCAAATGGGGGATTTGAAAATCGGGACTATTGTGTACCGGAGAAGGGGAACGAATCGAGGGAAGGAATTGACGCGATATGAGGGCCCATTCAGGGTGGTTGCCATCAGGGAACATAATTTGGTAACGATAGAGAGTATGAAGGAGCCTAAAAAGAGACGCACAGTTCATATCGAACAATTGAAACTTCCGTTTGTAGGGGCAGAAAAAGAATAAATGAACCGTGGTGCCCTCTGTCCTGCACACGGAAAAGATTTTTTTTTGCTTTTGCTGTTCAATGTAAAAAGAGTTTGTATATAGGAAAAAGTGCTGTTTTTTTTTTTTTGTGATTCCATTGTATGGTTTTTTTTTTAAGAATCCTATTTTTGTGCTATTGTATATGTTGCTTCGTAGTTTTAAGTGAAAAGAAGTATATTTGTTTTACTCATAGAGTAGTGTCTCAGTTGGTTGTATTCCTATTATTATGATATTTTGTATTTTTTTTTATTATTATTGTATTAAGTGTACAGGAAACAAGGTGGTGAGGCTGATACAGTTCACTTCACTCGAGAGTTAAAAGTTTTCGAAATGCTTTTCGTAAACTGGTGGGGGGGGAGATAAGGACAGGAGTCGGGCAGTATCAGCCTTAATACCTTCCTGGTATGTAAACAAACCTCTGAAGTGTATATAAGAAGGATTACTTCACAAATAAAGGAGTATTGTTTCTGAACCCGTGTGAGTTATTTAACAGCCCCTTTTCTCCTTTTTTTTTATCGTTTGATTTCAAAGTCGCATAAGTTGTATAGAAAAGTATAACAAAGTAATTCACATATGTATACATGCATCTATACATATTCATATAATATGTAAATAAATGTATGCTATAGATGGGTTACTGAATATTGAGTGTTTCTTCATCACAGAGAAATGTGGTATATTTTTGTAGTAATAGAATAAGAATAACGTAGGATGTTTGTTTATGATTGCGGCAGTGAGCGTTCTGCAGGTGTTTATTGTTAATGCTTCGAGCGTTGTAAATAGCGCTGTTTTTATTTTTATTGTTGCAATAGTGATATATATGTTTATCGTAATGAAAATAATTATATTTCCAATTAAAAAAATATATTAGGGTATGCATTGACGTTATACAGGTTTGTTTTGAATGAAAAAATAAATAAATAAAAAATTGAAAATAAAAATGAAAATTTGTAATCGTATATTGTTAGTGTTTCGTAAGTTATTAGATTTTCTTTTTGTGACGATTGCCCTGTTTTTTGTTGTGTACGATGGTAAACTTTCCTTCCGGATCGATATCTGAGTTTTGGTCTGAACCTATGATCGCAAATGCGGCTTCTGATGTTTTTGAAGTACACGCTTCTTGAGAAAAAAGTGAGGGGAGAGGATTTGCCCGACTCCTAGAATTTGATCTGGACTTGCGAAGAGGCTTTGGGGCCGCTAGGGAGGCGTCGGGCTGCGGAAGAAGGGGGGGTGGCCGGTGGTGGGGGCAGGGAGACGGCCGGAGGTAGGATCACAGGAATGTTAGGGAGGGGGATTAGTGGTGGAGATAGGGAGAGGGTAGGATTTGTTGATGTTTGAGTATTTCCAGTATTAGCTGTATAAGTCGTATGAAATATGTTTTCTCCAAAATTAAACAATGAATTTGTTTGAATGCCGATGTCTTTCTTTTCGATAGTGTTAGGATTTTGTTTTGTAATTTCAGCAAAAAATCTAGTAAACTGGGTTGGATTCTGTTCTTTATATATATTTTTTGCTTCGTTTAAAGATATTTTATTTATTGTTTATATAGTTTTTCTATTTCGTTTTGCATAATAAAAATCAGACACAGACGATCTAATGAGTTGTGTTTTTGGGCACAATTACTACAGCGAGCTGGGAGCGTACAACCCACTTTATCTTAATGTTTTGGTTCCCCACATTGAATGCATTTACTTTGTTGTTTGCAGACGTTAGAGAGGTGACCGAAAGATAAGGAGTTAAAACAGAGAAGCGGTTTAGGAATATAATCTTGCACCTTGACCGCATGGAATCCTATCTTTATTGTTTCCGGAATTCTCGGTGTAGGAAAGGTCACGATATAAGAATTTGTCAATATCTCATTTCCATTTTTTGAAATTTTAATGCGGAATATATCCTTTATCACTGGAGATAATTCATTTTTAATTTCGTCTATCTCTAGAAATTGGATGTCGTAACATCGAATCACTCCTTTACTGTAATTTAAGCTATTGTGGAAAGAAACCTGAGCCAGAAAGTGGCTACCAAATTTTTTACATTTTAATAATTCTTCTGATTGTTTTCTGTTTTTGGTTTCAATAAGTAATGTACCATTTCTTAGCTTTTTCACATTTTTTAAGTCTTCTACTAAACCTGAAAGAAACTTATTTATTAAGAACGGGGATACTTTTTGAAAATGTTGATCATCTGATCTTTCTATTATTAAGAACGATGGGCTAATTGGGATCGCACCATCCGTATTTTCGGCTTCGAATTTAAGACGACCTCGAGGTTTAACCTTTAACCTTTGGGCTATTTAAATCTATGGGGTCCCCCATAGAAATATAAAAAAAGTAATTAATAAAGAGGAAAAGAAAGGAAAAAAAATTGATAAAATGAAAGAAAATAAATATATCCTTATAATTTATAAAAAAAATATATATCCTTATTGTAAATAACAAATAATAAGTGAAAAGTTATAAGAAAAAGAAATTAATAAGTGTATTTAATCTTATCTGTGAGCGACTGTACAGGGACGTCTTATCTCTTCCAATGCTAACACTGAACGAACTACATCAAGTTTTCTATATCATATTATTAAAGAACTTGTTATTATCTCATAACCATATGCTTTTCATAAAGAAGTGAAACATATTTCAAAATGAGAGGTGTTGTTGGCACCTCCAGATCAGATATTTTCTTTTACTTCAGACATTTATTTTTTTATTTTTTTTTTAGTATATGTTTGAATTTGTATTTACGATTATTATTTTCCCATTATGTATTTATGAATCATTTATCTTTTAAATTATCAGAACTTGTTCCTCCGCCTGGTTCATTGTCTCCATCACCATCTGGAAAATTAAAAGCAGAAGAGGATAATTTTGCAGCTACTGCTCCAATAATATCTGGTGAGGAATCTACTATAGAAATAAACAAAGATAAAATGGGGCTTGGGCTAAACATCGTTGGTGGCTCAGACACTCCAATGGTAATTATTTTTGTTTAGATTTATAATTATTTATCAAAGAATAAATGTGATGTAGAAATTTGGTAACCAAAAAACTTAATTATTAAAAGTAAAAAAATGTAAAATAATGATAAACTTTCTTTGAAACAGGAATTATATGAGTTTTCTTTCTTTAACATTTTACATAAATATGATATGAAGAAAAGTATGCTAGATATGAGGAGCACTCTTAGAGAAGAAATGAATGTTGAGGTATCTATAGGATAATGGTAATTGCAGAAGGACATTACAAATAAGAAGGGAGTGAGAACTTCACAGATATGTCATAGGATTAATGAAAGATCTGTCAATTATAGCAGTTTTGAGTACTTTCTTTATTGCAAAAACAAATCAAAAGAGGATCAATTGAACATCAAATATTAATCAAGGATTTTCTGCTGCCTACTGTTCATTAATCCTAGTTGCATTTATATTTGTTATTGTTAGATGTCAGTGACATTATATTATTTCATATGATCATTTTTATCCTGGTTATCTGTTTTGATTGTAGTATTGGTTAGTTAATAATTAGACACTAATATTTATCTTTCAATGCTTTTTTTCAAGGTACACTGTTAGTTTGATTTGGTTTAATGACATAAAACTTTAGGGTCATTAGTTCCTGACAAAATGTTCACTTTCTACTTTTTTGTCATCATGACCTAATCTTAAATGTACATAAAAATTCCTTCTCTTTCAGCAAATATTTATACCTTTTAAAACATTTCTAGAAAGATTTTTTGACTTTGGCATACATTTTTAATACTTAATGAGTGGGTTTCTTTTCCGTTTCATTTCAATGCCATAAAAAAATTTAAAAAGTGCTGTAGACCTTTTCGCTGTAGACCTCTTAATTAACTAATTCATGTATGAAAGCCTAATTTTGTGAATATTGAATATCATTGATTATTTTTTACTAAATTTATATATCCAAAGGGGTTCCAGAAGAAACTAGTCTTCATGAAAAACTTCTGCAATAAATAATCTTTAAAAATAGTTTCCACAAATCCTGGCCGTATGTAAGGATTGGTCGGATAAGTTTTTTATAAATTCTTGTTTTCGCATCCCTAAATAATCGACTACTCTTTTTGAACTTATTTTGAAGCGTGAAATATGTGTGGTTTACCAAAGTATTTGCCTATGTATTTCTTCATCCACATTATTTTGACACTTAGCTTGGGTTCCTAAATAGATGATAGATTGAATTCATTCAAATCTATATTTGTTCATCAAGATGTATCTCTCATTATCTTCATATATCTCATCATCAGGGTAGAGCCATCACATATCAATAGCATCAGTCCATTCATTCAAGTCTCCTCGTGTCAAGTCCATTTAGGTGAATCATATCTGTTTAGCTAGACAGATTAGATGGGACTGGACTTAACTGGACCTCCTTCATTAGTGAAAAGGATTCAGCTCTTAACTGCTACACATCAGAAACATTCAGGATAATGGATTATTTGTGACTGCTATGAACTGCGATTGATTTGACTGATCACCGCACCAGTATCATCATCTCTATAATGCATGACAATCTTCAGTGTGACAAAACTTTGCATCAATATTTGAATTAATTAAACGATGATTTGCTAATATTTTAGAATCTATACGTGATTATGTATAAAAGAAAAACAAATATCTAAAATAAACAGAAAACAGTTTAGTTAAAGGGTATTGTTTTTAAACATCAGTGTATGAAGATATGTGTCAAAAGCTTATAACTTAAAACTTATATTTTTTTAAATTGAAAAATCTTTAAAATGAACAATCGAAAACATTAATTTTATAAATCTAAAATTTCCAGGGAGCAGTGGTTGTCAATGAAATATATCCTGATGGAGCTGCATTTAAAGATAGAAGATTGAAACCAGGAGATCAGATATTAGAAATAAATAATGAGGACTTTAGAAATATCACAAACAATAAAGCACTTTCCGTTCTCAGACAAACCCCAAGCAAGGTATAAAATTTTACTTGGGTATTATGATTGGTATTATGATCTGTTCTCCACTCTCTCTTGAAATGGACTAGTTTGAGAGTTAAGAGTAATCTGAAAATATTCCTAAATTTAAAACCGACAAATACTCATTTATTAATTATTTTTACAAATACTATGTTAAATTGTGGACATTTATAAACTTTCAGGTCAGAATGGTTGTTTATAGAGAAGACGTTCCAGAAGGAAAAGAAGGTATTGCAAATTTAGACATTATTGAAGTAGAACTAACTAAAAAATCAGGAAAAGGTTTAGGTTTAAGCATAGTTGGAAGAAAAGTTGGTGCTGGTATATTCGTTTCAGACTTTGTAAGTGAATATTTTATATAAATTGTCATTTAATTTATTGTAGATTATGATAGAAAGATTTCAAAAAAATTGACAAGTTCCTTGTCTTCCCTCCCCTCTTTAAAAGGAGTTGAACATTAGCTAATTAACAGTTCACCTAGTCAGACATCACTGTAGTTCTTGAGATTTGGGAAATCTATTGGGTACAGGTGAGTAGAAGACTTGTGTTACCAAATCTACAAAACAACCAGTCCCCCCACCACTGGTGTTAGCAACCAATACTAAGTTATTGTTCCCTGTCACCACATCACATCTGAATATTGAATTAATTTCATGAATCCTACTTAATCATATTTAAAGATACCTTTTTTGCTTGGAATCGCAGATTATTTATCTTGCCAAGGATAAAAGAGCAAAATTGTAACTCATGAGTATTTATTTTCTTTTTGCATCACTACATCAGTAACAGCTCGTTTTCAGTAAAATTTAATGCAGAATGTGAATATTTCGAAAAGCTCGCTAAACATATAAGTCTATCAAAATGTCTGTTTGCACAATTTTAATTTAATAGATGTTGTTTCTTTATTATTTATAATAGCAGGTGCCTCACATAAGACTGAACATATTCCTAGAGAACTTAAATTTATTTTATCCGGGTTTTCTTTAGTTCCAATAGATCTGGATGCATTGCAAAATCCAGTATTTATGGATTTTTCCAGTATTTTTTTCTTTGATTATAGTAGTTGCAGTTGGAAACTTTTTCATTTATTAAAGATATATATATTTATATATATATATATATATATATATATATATATATATATATATATATATATATATATATATATATATATATAATAATTTCTTAGCATTGACCTTATCCACTAGCCTTCAAAAGTAAAACAAATAAAAATAGAAAGTAGAGAATCACTTTATTATCAGAAAAGGATGCTATCCAATTACATTGGGTTGCTTTAAACAGAGCATACTTATTAATCGCTACACACAATTTTCCAAAACTAATATACAATTGTATAGTACTAACAATATGTATGAGCATAGTATACAATTGTTTATATATATATATATATATATATATATATATATATATATATATATATATATATATATATATATATATATTTTTTTTTCTTTTTTTTTAATTATTATTCTCTCTCTCTTTCTCCCTCTCTCTCTCTCTCTCTCTCTCTCTCTATATATATATATATATATATATATATATATATATATATATATATATATATATATAGAGAGAGAGAGAGAGAGAGAGAGATAGAGAAAGATTCTTCAAATCATTTTAACTGTTCCAACTCTTATTGTTTTAAGTTAAAGTTTCATGTGTCTAATACTGGTGCCTTTACCCTACTGTGGGTAACCTCACCCAACCAGCTTTGTTTATAACAGCTGAGCACTGCTGCTAGATAGCATACTTAAATATATATATATATATATATATATATATATATATATATATATATATATATATATACATATATTTAGTATTTCTTTCATTCATTTATTAGCATTATATATCCCTTTCTCTTCCTTCTCTCCCCTTATATATTTTTCTCATTCCCTAGATTCTCTCCTCTCTCTTCCCAACCTAATTCATAAAATTCATACAAATACATAAAGTGCAGTTGACGTTGTCAATAAATAATGTAAAAATGCGGTATAAAACTCCCCCCCCCCTGAACAAACTCTCTCTCTATCCATGCACATGGTGATGGATAATTTCCAGGGAGTCGAGGATTATATTCTCTGCCAACTTTGCCAAGTCCTTTATGTCGACACCAAGGCCCTCCATGAAGCTCCTTGTTGAGTTAGGTATCGTTCCGCGAGCTCAGAACCAAATGCCTCTCATGTGGAATTCTCTCGGCCCGAAACTCTCCCGGAACTTTTCACTAAGGAAAGGAATGCATTTCTCATAGGTCTTTTTTTTCTCTCTTTCCACTTTGCCTGCCTTATCGAGGTCATTGGTCTCATACCTCACGGTAGGATCCAAAATCATTGCCGAATTTCCCGTCTTAGGGAATGCTACAATGTCAGCATATCGGGTGGATCCATCCGTATCTATACAATATACTTCCTCGAAACAGGCGTAATCTCTCTCTTTAAGGAGCCTCACCAGTTCATGTTTGACTCTGTGGTGACGGCGTGTTATAAGGAGGGAGTTGTTGAGGCATTTTCCAAGCACAAGTACTGGTGATTCTGGCTCTCTGTCGCATTTACGACAGAGGAACCCAACTTCTCTAACCTGTCCGCTGACACCTGGTACTCCACGCAGGGGTGCATAATTAATATTTAGTTTCAGAGCATTTGACCATTCAGACCCAGAAAGTATTTGCTTATGCATGTATTTATTGGCTTTCGGGGTCTCTTTAAATGGCGAATATACCCTAGTATAGATCCAATACCCTGCCACCTGCAATTGGTCCATTCCTCAAACGAATTTTCTCGAAGCTACGGCTGTAGAGCTCTCATATTTCTAATACCCCGATCAACACCTAATCTCTCGGCACATTCAGTAACCTCAGCCGAATAATCAAAAATCGATTGGAAAAGGGCATCGGGCACATAGGACAGTCGCTGAACAATGGACCAATGTTATAGAGGGGCCTCCCATTGGCAGCGGATTAATCCTAATCCTCGATACCTCCTGGGTGCGTATAACATCGCCGTGGAAGTGTTCGCAGGGAGTCCAACAATAGCCTTCAAACTCCTGCGAATCATGGTGTCTATGCCGTCAAGTATGGCAGGATGTAGTTTTGTGAGAGGCGCAGTTTGGTGAGGGTGAGTAAGACCCGGGAACAGATATTGACTGACAATGTTTAGCTTCTGCTCCGGCTTAAGCAAGGGAGAGGTTTCCAGTTTATTGAGATTGTCGTTCAAATTTGGTCACCGAATCTTCGTTGAACTGTAGCTCTCCCGAGAATGTACATCCTAAATACTTGATTGTATCTCCATTCTACAATGTTTGGATTTACTCTCCATTCTCAAGGAAGAGCATTGCTGTTTCCAGCTCTCCTTTATTTAGAACGATTCCCACGCTTTTTTTGAGGATTGTACGCTGCCGATCACTCTTTCTTTAGAGGCAACCGGAAGAAGTGCTATGCCTCTGTAATTTCCACATTCATACATGGAGCCGTTCTAAAGGATAGGACAGATCAACCCTGTGTTCCATGCTTCTGGTATCCGTTCCTTCTTCCATATCTTCTGGATTAGATCTAACAGCTCTGAGCTCTTCTCCCCCATCCTTGAATAATTCTGGCAGGTTGTCTATGGACGGAGTTTTTCTTCTATTAAGCCTGCCGATAACTATTTCCGCATCCAGAATATCTGGTTTTTCAGCCTCAAGTGGGTCGATGTCCTCAGTGTGTTCTATATCTTGTTCGTTTGTGGGGTGTCCTTGGTTAAGCAGCTACTGGAAATGTTCCTTCCAGATGCTTAGGATCTTTTCTTTTGATGCCGTCAATTTGCCATCTGTCCCTCGCATTTGTGTATTTCTCGCTTTATATTCTACCCTTTCTTTCTTGATATCTGCGAAGAATTCGCATATATTTCCAGCCTGCCAGTTTTCCTCAATAGTTTGTTATCTTTCTTTGAGGAATTCTCTTTTGGCTGTTCTTATTATTTTGTTTGTCTTTTTCCTTGCGGCTGTGTATTTGTCCAGCCTAGCTTGATCAGTTTGTAAGCAGAGGACTTTTCTTCTTACTTTTCTTCTTTCCTCTACCGCCTTTTCGCATGCTTCTGTGAACCATTTCTTGGCTTTTCTTTTTTCCTGAATCCCTATTACTTCCTTAGCTGTTTGTTTTAGCCCTGACTATAGTGCCTCCCAGTGTTGGTCCACCGTGAGACCTTCCGAGTTCAAGGGTTCGAATTTATTAATCAGCTCAATTTGAAATTCAGCTTGTACCATAGGGTATTTCAAATTACGTACTTCGTACTTCTCTCTTTCCAATGGGTTCCCAATTCTGTGGATTCGCTTCAGCCTCTAACAGAGTTTGATTCTAATCAGAGTATGGTCCGAATCACAGTCTGCTCCACGATAATTCCTAATCGTACTGCTTACTACTAGACCTTTAGCTGCTGCCAGACTAATGCATCTCACTCCATTGTCATTGCTAGTTTCGTGGAAACTTTGACCTCCGATGACGGGCTTAAATTGGATTTCTCGACCTATCTTGGCATTGAAGTCTCCCATGACTAATTTTATGTCATGTTTTGGGGCCTGGTCGACAACTTTTTCTAACTGATCGTAGAAATCGTCCTTCACCTCATCCTCTTTTTCTTTGGTTGATGCATACACGTGATATTAAACCAACGACCTCTTACGCGTAGCACACTTATCCTTTCATTAACTGGGCTGAAGTATATTACTGACTTCCTGGCGGCCGGATTAACTATAAATCCAGTGCTAGCTGTCCCATTTTTGTCATTTCTCCCGGTCTAGAACAATGTGTAGCCGTCTATAGTGGTTTCCCCACCATCTGGCCACCTTACCTCTTGAATGGCTGTTAACGGTATGTTGTACCTTTTTACTTCATTAACTACCGTTTGGGCGGCTTCTGGTCTGTATAAGCTCCGAATATTCCATGATCCGATATGGAGTCCGTTATGCAAAGCCGGAGTCGTTACCATGTTAAGACAGTCAGATTTTCCGAGGCTAGTTTTAGGTTTATTAATACTTTGTTTTTGACGGGATAGGGTTATTAGCCCTATGCCCAACCCCCAACCTGGAGGACCAGAATTCTCCAAACCCCTCCGATCCTACCTCGAACCATAACTTTCCGTAACCTTAATGGCCTTACTCGGGAAAAAATCTTACCTTCCGTGGAATCCCTAGATTGGAATACAGTATATTCTTGTACCTCAATTGATTCCATGGTTGACATTCTCACCTCCAATCTTATTAATATCCTTGATGACCATGCCCCTCTCAAAACCTCCACCTTTCGTAGCCTTCCCGCTCCTTGGATGTGTCAGAAAATTAGTAAACGCATTAGACGCACTAGACTGGCTGACGACTATCAAGCGTTCAGGGCGCTCCACAACCTGACACAAACCACAATCCGACGAGCCAAATCTACCTATTTCCATGAAGCCCTTTCATCAGCTCCCGATTCCAAATGCAAATGGCTACTCCTTCGTAAACTCTCTCTCTCTGAACCTTCCAGATCCCCTCTGCAGAGCTGAGCTCCTAGTTTCACCAAATGATTTAAATTCTTATTTTATAACTGCTTTCTCTTCA